CAAAACATGAAATTATACTAAAACAATTATTCACCTCAGGCTCGGTGATTATCGTGAATAAAAACCTCGACTTCGTCTCGGTTTTTATTCACCGATAATCACCTCGCCTTCGGCGAATAATTGTTAAATATTACCGAAGTTGTACGTATTATAAATACGTGATTGGAAAGCAGGAAAATTAAACTACATCTTTTAAGACTAATAGAAATATACAGGAATGGACCCAGTCAGCTGGGGGATGGGTAGGCGGGTGGGTGGGTGTGTACTCATCAACCACCATCGTTCTGGGTTCGACCATTGACCATGACAAGTGCGTAATCATTAAAGGGAACTACAGCAGCAAGGCACTAGTCTGTAGTCTCTCTCCTCCGCAGAGAGGAAGCCTCTGCGAGTTAATGCAATCAATATGGCGTCGAATATAAACGTTTGTAGCGAAGTTCGATCAACCATCGGGGGTGTTAAAACATGTTTTCTACTTTCATTTTCAGGCGTACTTGAGTATCCTGGAGTGAATTCAATATCAATATCAAACAACTAGTTTGGTTCAAAAACCATACTTCGTCGCATTATCTGACAGAGCCTCCCCAACTTCATTTCAATCTTCCCATCACACCGCGTGCGCTCACTTTTATTCAGGAAACTTCATGTAAGTTATTTGTAAATACTTAAGGAGGTATAAACATTGTTTTCTCACTCTGGTAACTAAAGGTTGACCACCATTTGTTGGACGATGGGTGGGCTTCACTGTTAAGCACTATTGCTGTGCAACAGATGGTGGTCAACCTGCAGTTATCAGAGTGAGAAATAATTATATGTCGTAGTCTGGTAATAGATGTCTTAATGTTTTGTCGGAAATGTAGTTTAATTTTCTATAAGTGTCCATACATTTTTGAATTTGGCTGTGCTGTCAGCCTTACTGAAATCAACCAATACTGTGTACTAACACACTAACCTTTATATTCGTTAACTGACAATATTCACATGTGAGAGGAGCTGCCTGACAACTTTCTGCCACATGTTTCTATACAAAAAAATAAGCATAGACAATTGTGTAAAATAGAAAATTTAAATTCACTGTAAAAGTGGGCAAATATATTTTCTTTGTATGCGCTGAGCTTCAGTTCCATCCTTTTTGATTGAGTTTTCCTTGATTTAATATTTAGTTTTTTCCACTTTTCTTTCAGCAGACTTCAAAATTTTCTGGGAACCAATGGTTCCAAGGTCCACACCATGGTCCAAGGTAGAGGGAGGTGTTGCAATTGAGAGATGATTGCAAAGGGCACAGCTCAGATGTGACCAAGTTTAAGGCTTACTAGGAAGCCTCTGCATACGACGCATGTCTTATCAAGGAGTGGCTCCGATAGAAGGGTCAGTTTTTGTTGAAGGAGAACCAACCAAACTCTACTTATGTGTTTTCAAACAAATCAAGTCAAAATATAAATACCCATCAAGTAACAAGCCCTCCTCTCGACCTATACTGTACCGTACACAGCTAAAAACGATCAGGTTGTTGCAATATTGATGAAAACAGGATTGAACAATGTTCATTGTTCACAGTTGTCAATAATATTGAACAATGTTGTTACACCCGATTCAGGCTCAACAGTATTGTTCAATATTGTTGACAAGTGTGAATAATGTGGGCCGCACAACATTGTTCAATCCTGTTAAACAGCGGGCTCACAATTTTTACGCGTGTATCAGGCTTATGTAAGGGTCAGCGTGCTAACATACCTGGAATCTTATTTGATAATATCAGAGTACAATAGTCTGGCGTTATATTAAACCAGCAATTAAATGATAATAGATGGCGTTAGAAAAGGTTGAAGGAACTGTAGTGCTTCATATCTCTAACTCCCAAAATAGCTTGACTTGTGTGAACATACCTCCACAGAAGCAAAAGGCAGCGTTTCTTGACAATTTTCACACTGGACTGATCGATATAGACATTCTTCCTTTAAATGTTCTGCCAGGAGTGAACGTTTGATTTTAGCTTACATGGAGTATGAACACATATTATCATGGTGTACTCACAGAGTCGATGTGAGCCTAAAAAGAAATATGACCGTTATATACTAGTTGCAGTAATCATATCATTTCAACACTTACGAAAAAACCCTAATTTATCAGTTGATGTGATTTTCTAGCTTTGTACCATCCGTTTCAATGTGCGCCGGCAAAATCAAACTGCGCAAAAATATCGCATTTAGCGAGCGATTAAACGCGCGAAATTAAGTACAACACAAATATACAAAGTATACAGGCATTTACAGTGCAGAATTACGATTTACCTGCAAATCTTTCCCGCTCCAAACCAATTACATTCATTATTTAAACAATGTAGCTTCAACGACATTAGTTCTCGCTTTGTGTAACCATCGAGAAAAATCTAGGAAAAAATATTTTGTATGGTGTCTTCATTTATATGGTTTTGTTCTGGAGGGCTATTTTTATGTGCCAGGTTATAGGCCATAATAGTGAGGTTTAAACTGCCACTATCGCTACCATTCAGAAACCACTAACTGACAAATCAGATGCGTTTAATCTACCCGATTAGCCAATCACATACGTACTTAGTCATTTTGCGGTAGAGATAGTGCAAGCCCGTCAAAACAATGACTGACTGGATGGCATGGAGAACAGTGGGATTTTCAAAACAATGAAAAGACAATGGAACATTCTGATCACTGGATCATGACTGCATGACATGGAGAACAGTGGGATTTTCAAAACAAGGAAAAGACAATGGAACATTCTGATCACTGGATCGTGACTGGATGACATGGAGAACAGTGGGATTTCGAAACAAGGAAAAGACAATGGAACATTCTGAGATCATGACTGGATGGCATGGAGAACAGTGGGATTTTCAAAACAATGAAAAGACAATGGAACATTCTGATCACTGGATCATGACTGGATGGCATGGAGAACAGTGAGATTTTCAAAACAATGAAAAGGCAATGGAACATTCTGATCACTGGATCATGACTGGATGACATGGAGAACAATGAGATTTTCAAATCAATGAAAAGACAATGGAACATTCTGATCACTGCATCATGACTGGATGACATGGAGAACAGTGGGATTTTCAAAACAAGGAAAAGACAATGGAACATTCTGATCACTGGAACATGACTGGATGGCATGGAGAACAGTAGGATTTTCAAAACAATGAAAAGACAATGGAACATTCTGATCACTGGATCATGACTGGATGGCATGGAGAACAGTGAGATTTTCAAAACAATGAAAAGACGATGGAACATTCTGATCGCTGGATCATGACTGGATGGCATGGAGAACAGTCAGATTTTCAAAACAATGAAAAGACAATGGAACATTCTGATCACTGGATCATGACTGGATGGCATGGAGAACAGTGGGATTTTTAAAACAATGAAAAGACAATGGAACATTCTGATCACTGGATCATGACTGGATGGCATGGAGAACAGTGAGATTTTCAAAACAATGAAAAGACAACATTCTGATCACTGGATCATGACTGGATGGTATGGAGAACAGTGAGATTTTCAAAACAATGAAAAGACAACATTCTGATCACTGGATCATGACTGGATGGTATGGAGAACAGTGAGATTTTCAAAACAATGAAAAGACAATGGAACATTCTGATCACTGGAACATGACTGGATGGCATGGAGAACAGTAGGATTTTCAAAACAATGAAAAGACAATGGAACATTCTGATCACTGGATCATGACTGGATGGCATGGAAAACAGTGGAATTTTCAAAACAATGAAAAGACAATGGAGCATTCTGATCACTGGATCATGACTGGATGGCATGGAGAACAGTGGGATTTTCAAAACAATGAAAAGACAATGGAACATTCTGATCACTGGATCATGACTGGATGGCATGGAGAACAGTGGGATTTTCAAAACAATGAAAAGACAATGGAACATTCTGATCACTGGATCATGACAGGATGGCATGGAGAACTGTGGGATTTTCAAAACAATGAAAAGACAATGGAGCATTCTGATCACTGGATCATGACAGGATGGCATGGAGAACTGTGGGATTTTCAAAACAATGAAAAGACAATGGAACATTCTGATCACTGGATCATGACTGGATGGCATGGAGAACAGTGGGATTTTCAAAACAATGAAAAGACAATGGAACATTCTGATCACTGGATCATGACTGGAGCAGTACCTCACTAGGGTTGGGTGAGTCCTCCGTTCCGATACTTTCGTTCATCTTCGTGTTGTCCATCGTTTGTTTTCCTTCGTCAGCTTGCTCATCATTCTAAATTACACAAAAAATTTTTGTCGTTTTTATAAAATATGGTTTATTTAACCCATTAAAATTGCATACTACCGTGGGGGTAAATCTGTCTAGCACTCCCGAAAGAAGTCCAGCACCACCCTAAAACAGGGTATGCTTTACCATATACTTTCTGCTTTTTGAATAGCGATTAGCGGAAATTCTATTGTTAACACGTGTCAATCTCTTGAAACGAGTTAATTGATTTGCGAGCTCACGAGAAAATACTCAGAATGCTTTTAGTCCGAAATTCTGAACTACAGTCATTTGAACTGAAAACTATCCATAACATTAACAAAGAGGTGTCTTACAGTTTCTATGAGTAAAGGTCCTAATAGCAGACATTCCTTATTGGCTTCGAGCCAGGGGCGGTCATCTACTGTGAGGTGCAGGGGGGAGGAGCGGGGGGTTCGGGTGCACAACACCCTAAAAATCTGCTTAACCATACATTTTCTGCTTTTCGAACAGCGATCAGCGGAACTTCTACTGTTAGCGTGTGTCACTTTCTTGAAACGATTTAATTTATTTGTGAGCTCACAATAAAATACTCAGAGTGCTTTAGTTAAATATCATGATTAATTAAATATGTAAACATGTCGAGGTTGTTATAAAACCATATTTTCAAATATACTCTACTTTAACAAGTTTATACTGTACTGTGCTACAGCAACTGTCCAGTCACGCATACGTGATAAAAAGCCGATATAAACTTTATAAACAAAAAATAATGTAAAACGTAACAGAACGGCGAACATGCAGATTCGGTCATCTCAAATAATGGTAATGTTGGGATAGTAGCGTTGCAGACTGCAGAGGAGAGTGGGCAGTAAGGCTCCCTCATGCACCACCCCATGGAAAACCTGCACCCCTCCTTGCAGATGAGGCTAGATCCCCCCACCCCTGGTTAAAATGACTGACATTAGTCATTAGACAAAATAAAACTATCTCAGTATAAGGCTTCAAAAGACTATCAGTTTTAAGACTCTTTAATAGGATGAAAGGGTTCTGTAAGTTTTTGAGATCTATAATATGCAACACATCGCAACGCACACAAAGAGATCTTACAATGTGACGGGCGTAGGAATCTGTGATATTACCATTAGGAAATCATTTGCATTAATTGTTTCAAAGAGCATACTATAAAGCATGTATTTAATAAGCTAGGTTACATAATTATGCCAATTTCAGATCAATTTAGCCAATATGATGATATGAACTTCGGTAATTGTAGCAGGAAAAGTTAGTTTAGACATTTTATGAACAGGTCAAAACATTTAGCTGGTGGCAAGATATAGCGTACAGACATAAATTATCATATGCCCCTATGCAACCAAAGATTTGATAATCTATGGATATTGCAAATGGAGTCTTTCAAAAAGAGCGACAGTCTTTCGTTATAATTTTTTTCTCAGAAAGGCATTTATGAAAGTCAAAAGTCAATCCTTTTATGGACAATGTATCCTTTATTAAGTTTACACAATATCACTTCCTGGGTGCCTCGAGGGCTTCCAGGCTAGACATTAATGCTCCATATCTCAACATCACATCTGCCAACTCTCACGATTTTGTCGTGAGACTGGCAATTTTGGATGCATTCTCACAGTCTCACGACAAAGTCTTTAAATCTCACAAAAAAGTCACAATTTTTGAGGAAATCTGTTTAACCCATTAATTAACCACCAGAGCTCTACCCTTGAGGAGTAAAATCGTCTGGCATTAGACAGAGTAAAACAATAAAGTAGGGTGCATGAGGGCACAATGAGACACGTACAATGGGTCAAGAAAGTGTATTTATCAAGGCTTATAAGTTATAATATGTAATACAACCCTTATTCTATACAAACATCCATGCTCAGTTTCCGTTGAAATCATGACACCGAATTTTGTTCCAAGATTTGCAATATTAAACACTGTTACATTATGACAAGTGTGTTTAAGTAGAGGCATTCATATTTTAAAAATTCAAGCTATTAAAATAAATAACTGGCTTATTTATACATTCATTATCCTTAATAATAAGAAAACGAGAGAAATCTCAAAAATCTCACGGCTTTTAACAAAATCTCACAACTTTGTAAAATACAACTCGCAAATTCTGCCACTCTGGAGTTTCAGGAGTTCTGCGACGCATGTATGGGAAAATTGGACTGACATATCTGATTGTAACTTTAATTAACATTATGTATAACATGTTTTTAGCTGCACCTCTACATAAATTATTAATATTAACATACCTTATTCGTAACTTAATTTTGCACATACTTAATTTCGCGAGACTTTATTTTTGCGATTTTGATAGGGAAAAAAAGTAATTAAATGGTATTAAAGGGGAAGTCAAGTCCGTAATGTAAACAAACGGTTTGTTTACATTTTGAACTGCTGTATTTTTTAAAATATGATGTACTGTCTGAATATCTAACACCATTTTGGTTCGTTATGCTTCTACATGAATATGAAATAGAGTTTGTGTTCAGAAAAATTCGAAACATTCAAAATTTGGGCAATGTTTACCTCAGAGGGCCCTCTATTGTTATGCGCAGAACCGATGCGTAGAACGGACTTGACTTCCCCTTTAAATTTCATGAAAGCTTTCGGAACAACATTTTCCGAAACAACTACAACTCAGCGTAAGATATATACCATCTGTTTGGCAGGCTTTTAGCCAGAGTGTCGAAACTGTCCAAAAAGGACCGTGGGTGTGGCAACCTATTTTTGTGGACGTGGTCAAAAAACATGGAGCTTTCAATCAATTGTAATGCCTATATGCTCATAATTCAGCGCCTTTTCATAATGCAATAGATAAAGTCGACAGCTGCTGACAATTTTTGAGGTATTCAAGAAATATCACAAAGCTTGCTTCTTAGGGCGTCCATGGCCGTCTATTAAAAAGTGGTCGTTTTATTTTAAACGTGGACGGCTGCCTGCCTAAATGCCTACTGTTCGGCAGTCCGCAATATTTTTACTCGTAATTACAAGAAAAAGTGCAAATTGCAGCTTAACACTATACAACTGTTATTTAAAAAATTGTTATTTTATGTCGATATACGCTTGTACAAGTTGTTGATCATATTTATCAATAATTTTATGATCAAATTCTTGACTAGGGTATTACATTTAATAACATTGTATAAATTGTGTATAAGTGTATAAATTCAAGTGTATAAATTCAAGTCGGGAGAAATTAAGTACGAAATAAGGTAGGTATTTATAAAAACAAACAAAAAATTCTATTGTTTACAAATATTGTTAATTTTAATTATCTATGTTCAATTGTAGAATTTTAAATCGCTCAAAAATGTTGCAAAACTAGTGTTGCCATAACAACATACACTAAAACGTTCCAATAATTATTCCATAATCGCTTTACATGTGACAATTTATAACACAAAAGTCACAATTTTCTCAAATATAAAAAATCTACGCTATATTACTGGAAAAAAACCCATTATTTTTCATCAATAAACGATCAACTAACATATTTGCACTTGGGTTTGTTAATATTTACATTATTTTACAGTTTCGGGATTAAATTATGCAGCATTTGCATGATATTTTGCCAATCGCTCAACAAAAGTAAACAAAGCCGAAACTAACAAGATTTTTCAATTTTCGTGGACGATATTTTAATTTGATGATACATTTTATCAGCAGGAAATTATAAGCTTATTAGAAAAGATAAATATATAAGTTAAAGTCGCATAATTTTCGGCTTTAGGCGAGCTAAATAACGATATTAAACGAAAGGGTATGTATTAATTTATGATAACAAACGATATTGACACTTGACTACAATATATAATGACCAATTGCAGTTTTAAGCGTTTGAAAATTGTTCTCTAGTATTTTAATTGTATTGATATTATTTGGTTTTGGCGATTAAGTATTTTAAATGGTACTGTACTTAACGAGAAAATAATGCCTAGAATTCCACATGTATTTGCAAATAAACACAAAATTAAATGCACGAAAAATATAGCCTGATATTATTAAACTGTCGTTTTTGTAGAGTTGACAAATATACGTATTGTACCGTCTCAAAAATACGAAAAACGTTAAGCTTTTATCAACGTTTTTTTTGTGTTGAAATTTGGGAATCCGAAGCGACATAATTTATTGTACGCAAATATTAAACTGGTAGCTGTTATAAATATGCCTAATTGATGCTGTATTAAAGCTCGGGAATTGCTATATTTGAATATTGACGTTTGAAGGCTTGAATTTAAGTCATAGACATGATATAAATGTATTTAAATTTCCGAAAGCAAAATAAATCTTAGACAAACAATGTTACTTACGCCTCCTAAACCAGGCATAATAACGACTCCCGTCGACCGGCGTTTTTCTCGCAAGTTCTTCCTCTCTTTCCGTTTTTTACCCGAAGGCTTTTCCTTCTTTAAGCTTTTTGGCTTTTCAGCCGCTGCCGTAGCGCCTTCGAGTTGCATATCCTCGCTATTTCGTGAGGTTTCGTCCGAAATTTGATCTCTGCTTCGCCGTTGACGGCCTCGTCGCGAACTAGAGCCCTCGCTCGCATTTTCTGTGTTTGAAATGTCTGTTGTCTCGCAAGCATTCGCAGTGCTGTCATCCATATAAGCCGCAGTGTCTTTTATATTATTCTCTTTGTCGTATAAACGGCCCGTTGTTCCTTCAACCTTATATTTCTTCGGCGTCGTATAATTCTCGCTGGTCATCATTTTGACAAAGTCGCTTTAAAACCCCTTCGATGTACTCGTAATACTGTATGTTTAACCGTACTTTCCGCCTCAAAGTACGGCCAGTTTTACACAATAACCTTGAAATATTACCCTGTCTTTTAAATATATCTTTCCTTTGTTTCGAACAAGCGGGAAAGCGCTTAAAATTCACCCAAACATTTCAAAGTTTGACCCAAACTTCGATCGGACATCATAATCTTTCTACAATACAAAAATATCCCCCAAATCAGCGATATAACGAGCTTTCCGATTGGTTAAGACCAAGGTTATAATTATAACACGAGGTGGTAACTATTACATTCACTTGGCCAATCAGAACGCGGGATTCTGAGTGACAGACACCATAATTAAAAGCGACAAAGATGGCTGACCGAATGAAAATTGATTTGAACTTTCCGTTGTATGTTTCGCAGTTTAAAGAGTTTTAAAAAGCTATTTAAGCCCGCAACAAAATACATAAATATAAAGTGCAATTTGGTTTATAAAAGCGCGCTTGAATCTAGCTACACTTCGCTCAAAATGCGTGAGATATAAACATGTTTTAATCCCAGACAATTCAACATTCCTATGTTAACCTCAAATTAACATTTTAAATATATAATATGACTATGTTCGTCTCATATTTCGCATGGAGGCGCAGAATTCGCCACTTACGAGTTAATTTTTACCAATGCATAAGTTTATAGCTGATTTTTTTATTATAATAATTGGCATATTTTGGAAATATGTTAGTAAAAAAGTGAATTTATTGTACGAAAAATTTGATTGTAACATTCAATGTTGCAAAATAAAATTCTACAATTTTCAGTTAGCAATCGACTATATGGTATTTACTTTACTATATCTTCTGTATTTTTACAGAAAGATAAAATACCGTACAATTTAATATGCAGCAAAAACTATTACTGTAAAATCTTTGCATGTACTGTACATTTTTAAGCTATGAACAATTATCGACTAATCTTCAATTTACTTTTGCAGTTTTTCTCTAAAAACAAATTGTTTTGACTACTTTTCCAACAAATAAATATGCACGCTTCTCTACAAAAACCATTTGTTTTCCTTAAATACACTGTCTTATCGTGCCAAAATTGAACAGGAACTGCGAGGAACTGTTTTGTTTGTATACAAATGCAAAAAGTGCAGACACCCTACAGAAATTAGCAAAATCTCCAATAAACTAGAAAGTTCTAAACTAACAATGACACGTTTTTGCTACATCTGTTTTGCGACGAAAAAAATTGCTTTTAAAAACAGTGTATTTAGCGCTAAAAATGCTTTATAATTAGTGAAATATTTGTTAGTCTTGGACAGATTTTTCGTTCAGATAAGGTCAACAAAGACGTCGAAATAACGCTTCGCTAAACAAGGCACAGTCTGTGGTATTTGAAGCGCCATAATTTGGCGAACTTGAAGCATAAATTTGGCAAGCATTTCGTTACAAAAGTATTAAAGCATGCGTGTTCTATTTCGTCTAAACGCCTGAAGCTTTTCGTGGCGTGTCGGCGCTAAGTTAACAGGAAATTGCATTAACGCTAACTGTTTGTATATAAATTTATATCTTCATTGTTAAATTAAAGTGTTTAACAATACTAATATTTATTCGTCAATGAGTACCGCGCACTTCGTTACATAAACAATTACGTATGTTTCTGTTCAAAATTTAACCATTGTCAATTGCATGTAAACAGAACAATCTAAGCCCATAAGCACCAAAAACAAGGAGATTATACGGCAAGACTATAACCCGGCATTCCAAAATTTTAACCTCAAAAAAAAAAAATGCCAAAATGTGTAAGCCTACAAGCCCACAAAGCAGATATATTGTATTAACTTTTATCGAAAGGCTGTCTTATAGGCTGCCAGTAAGGTTTAAAATCTAACCAGCAAATTTGTTTCTAAATTCGGCAATATAAAATCTTCGAATATTATAGCATACCCACTCACAACGATTTAATAATAGCTATTTCACATTCAAGACTCAAGTATGAAGTATATCTATTATCGCAGAAATTATATTAACTGAACAGTCAGCGAAACTTAAAATATACTGCGCAAACTAAACTGATCATAACCTAACTATGTGAACAAATATTTTAGCATTACATAAAGGGAAATTAGCCACGTAGCCGACAGATTTTTGGGGTATTTGTGCCAAGGTATGCTTAGAAGATTACGAGTTATAGAATACAGGCAGATGGCGTATCGAAACAGCAGTAAATGAGAAAATAATGTTAATTATTTTCATTAAATGTAGTGGTCTTGCAAATTTGGCAGCAGAAATTATAGACGTAGTTTAATTTTACTTTTTGCCTACTCTATATGACCACTCTATTTGTGGGCAGAAAGCCGGCAATTTATAAATCATACCTGTCCTCCGCCAGGCAAGATGACGACTCCAGTTCCATGTCTTCGCTCTCTTAAATGCCTCTTGTCTTTTCGCTTTCTTCCCGAATCTGACGGCGATTTTTTCAACGGTTTTTCGTTCGGAACGCCTTCGACCGCATTGCTTCGAGACGGCTCGCTGGGAGCTGTAGTCTTGCTTCGGCCGGACAACCATTCTGGCCTCGAAGCTCCAGCGCTCGATCCAAAAGCAGGCTTCAAACTCGTGGCACCGACGGTGCGATACTGTGGCCGGGTGCTTCGCAATCCGCTAGCCATTTTGTAGTCCAAACGCGACCCGTTAAAAGCCTAGCCCTTATGGAGCCGATGGAATCCTAGAGCAATTCCTCGGTTATCTGTGGTAAACCTAACCGTTTGACAGTTACCTCAATTGACATAAGCCAAACACAGTATATTGTGTAAACATACCGTTTCTCGTAGGTTCGTAATAGGGGTTATTTTGGATCGGTCGGAAGGATTCGTCTGGTATCCAGCTGCGATAATGACGCAAGGTTATTAATATTTAAATGATGGACGAGTCTACCTAATTCCTTTAATAGTTATCTAGGGCCGAAGAGAAATGTTTTTTCTTGTGAAAATGTTGCCGATCCAACCATTAAAAAGTCAAAATATTTTTTACCCAACCTCAAATATCAATTTAAATATAAACATCTACCCCGCACGGCCAAAAATTTTACCGGAAAGGATACCATTCAGTTGTCACACATGTCCTTTACCACTTCTCTGACACGAGTTTGATAACTGCTTGTGCAATTTTCTGCAGTCTAAAGTTTCATGTTGTCTGCACATGTACTTTCTTTCGAGATACCATTTGCCTCATGACAAATCGGAAAATGATCAAGATAGTGACTCTGATTGATTTACATATTGTATTGACATATGACCGTTGACATTGCTTTTTAATCTTCAATATTTGAGTGAGTCTTGTTTAGTTAACAACCTTGTTGATTTTATCAGTCTTGTTACAAGGTTGTTCCAACAAGTACGATACAGTCATGATATAAGTTATATCATGACTGTATCGGACTTCATGTAACAATATTGTTACAATCTGTGTGGTCAACCTTGTAACAATCTTGTTATATCATGACTGTATCAGACTTGTTAGAACAACCTTGCGACATTCTTGTTATATCATGACTGTATCAGACTTGTTAGAACAACCTTGCGACATTCTTGTTATATCATGACTGTATCAGACTTGTTAGAACAACCTTGCGACATTCTTGTTATATCATGACTGTATCAGACTTGTTAGAACAACCTTGGAACAGTCTTGTTATATCTTATTTCATCAATCAAGTTCTGCAGTCTAAAGTTTCATGTTGTCTGCACATATGTACTTTCTTTGGCTGGGATACCATTTGCCTCGTGACAAATCGGAAAGTGATCAAGATAGTGACTCTGATTGATTGATTTATATATTGTATTGACATATGACTGTTGACATTGCTTTTTAGTCTTCAATATTTGAGTGAGTCATGCTTTGGAAATGACAATAAATTTTATTACCCAACCCTTGAGTTGTTTTGTTTTTCATTTACCCAACTTTTTACTCACTCAAAATTTTGTTTACCCAACCCTTTTCTCTTCGGTGCCACCCAGACAGCTCCCAATAAGGGAGCAAGATAAGGGAGTTGGTTCTCTTGTGCTTTTGAACATTTTCCTTCTGGTTTGCTTATAACCTCCCCTTGGGAAAGTTTCAATGACAGACCAAAGTGAAAATTTCGCATTATTTGCTTGCTTAGGGTCGACAAAGTTTTTCTATAAAATCGAAACAGTGATAGCCATTCATCTCTGTGTCAAGTACCCTTTCGATGCAATGTTTTGAAAGAAACTTTGTAGTAATTGTAATGAAGGGCAAAATTGGATGAGTTGTACAGTCATAATTCATTAATACACTGATACATATATACCAGTGTGGATTATAACGGTCGGCAATCGGCTATTTGCCGAACAAAAACACCAAATGGCCGATCAATTTCATTCTGCACGGACATTTTGTCCGATCAAATAAAATACACCACACTGTTCATTTAAATTGAAGGTAGTTTATGTAAAAGTACTGTTTGAAAAGCATCTAAATATGCCTACTATACCATGCAATCAATAAATATTTGGATGAAAAAATCACTCAGAGGAAACATTGTCATTGAGCTTCTCTTTTAGCAAATAGCCAAATACTCTCTCAAGTGACCGAATCTCGATAGTTACAGTCCATAGCCGGCGGCGTTTACAATACTTACTACTTACAAAAATATGTTTCATTTCTATAAGCCGTAGGCCTAGCTATATATTAGTAAATACCTTTATTTCCTAAAGAAACACAAACAAAGTGAAGGCGCGGAGGACGTTGCTAGTTGGCCTACGCCAAGCTTTTTTCTGCATGCAAACGTGCAATGAATAATGGTACGTCGATCTGTAGCACTGTCACGTAAAATGGTTGAAATAGTTGGCTGACCATTCTTGGCCAATGACATTTGTCAGACCTAAGCAAAAACGTTATAATCCACGCTGATATATACACTACATGCATACGTCACGTCGTTGACTTTGGCCCGTTCTAAGCCCTAACTTTCCATGGGGGTCGTGAGGTAGACCGCCGCACCTCCCGTAAATTTCATTCCACCTTCCCCACTATTTCCACCAAAATCCGGCCTTGGTATAAACTATTATTGTAAGAGTACAAACGATTGTTACGATAAGACAGCTAAATAGTGTATAAAAGCTGTAACATTACTTTATCAACCATTAAAAAACTCATTAATAATTCAGGAGGAAAACACAAAGAAAAATCATAAGCGTGTCGTATCTTTATATGTGATAAAAAATCATGTTAATTTACATAAACTTTAGCTTTGATCTTCTCGGTTTAGACAAAGTTTATTTTAAAAATTACTTCGCTAATGTACTCATCAGAAGATGGGTCTTTTTGTAAGCCATTTAAAGCAATTGTAGTCGTGTTTTATCAGACATAAAACGCTCGGCTGCACCTCGCGTTTTATATCTGATAAAACACTCCTAAGCGTGCTTTAAATGGTACTTAAATTATTTTTTCACAAACAAAACCATTATATTTTATCGCCATGCAAACATACAAAGAACTTACATTAAAGCATTGTCAGGCCATAACGTAAGCTATTGCAAGAATTTAAAGTTTGTTCGTTCACTGCAACAGGGTATATCAATCATGTTTCGCTCGCTACTCTGGTTTAAATAAATGATTACAAAGCCCAGTCGAATTGTAATCAAGACCCAGCGTTTCGACACTCCAGTCTGGTGTCTTCATCAGGGGTAATCTAAAACTGCGATCGTGGCTTCTTAAATACCCAAGGGATGACGTCACCTGCCAATGAGATGCATATATTCCTCTGGCAAATAGGCACCGTCATCCCTATTCAAAGCATGACGGTGGCTATTTGCCAGAGGAATATATGCATCTCATTGGCAGGTGACTTCATCCCTTGGGTATTTAGGAAGCCACGATTGCATCTTTAGACTGACCCCTGATGAAGACACTAGACTGGGGTGTCGAAACGTTGGGTCTTGACTATTGCAAAAAGTTGAAGGCAAAAACGTTTAAAGAACTATGATTTACAGCTACCAAAAATTGGTCATATTGGAAACATAATTCGCCCCCCCCCCGGAATATTTCCATAAATCGCCCCTCCCCCTTGATTTGAACAGTTAATTGGTATACACTTGCCTACCACATGGTAAAATTTTCATTCAGACTATTTCATCGTCTATTTTACAATAGTCACATTCATAATCTAATTAAATATAAACCTTTTCTTCTTTTTAGACAGGCTATGAAGTTGTATTTTGTAAAACTTCACGTTTTCAGCGTTGGTATATAACCAAATTGATTAACATAGTCCAATCTTATTCATTGCTATTGTTCCTGATTACGAGAGTATATCCATAGATATCTTATATACACTAGATAGTGCATCTAATTACTCTGTAATTCAAAAATTGAAGCCGTGATTGCAGTCTCAGGTCGTTCCCATGAAATGAGAAGGTTCGTATGTTTTCTATTTCTTAAACAGGGAACTTAAACATTAAGTTAACCCTATTCCAAATACGTTTTTAAACTATTCAAATGATGAAAGTTATTGTTGTTTTTAAGCGTTTATTAGCAAGTGGGAACGACCAACATGGCCGCCATCTATTCAAATGGGGGGTAACCGCTGGAATCTACTTGGCTTCAATTTTGCTAAAAGAGATGCGCTATTTAGTGTATATAAGATATCTATGGA